GGGGCGGGGGGGTGGGGGCGGTGCTGGAGGCAACCATTCGATTTGTCCCTCTCACATGGATGTTTCTCTCTCCCTCTCCTTCCTGCCTTCCACTCTCTGTAGAAATCAATGGAAAAAAAATATCCTTGGGTGACTATATAGTTTTAAAATTCCATGGTGAAAAGTCTAACTAAAATATGAATGTACGAATAACCCATGGACACAGGCAATATAGTATGGTAGGCCTTGGGGTGTGTGTGGCAGGTATTGGGTGGAGGGGGTTAAAGGGGGGGAAAAGAGGGAAATCCGTAATATTTTCAAGAATAAAGATAAAATTTTAAGAAAAGTCTAACTAAAATGTTAACCATATCCCCCCCCCCAAATCAAAATATATGTTGCAAACATTTAAAACTAAGAGTATTAAAATTACATAATTACGTATTATCATTTTTCCATATTATACATAAGGGTACAGGGCTCAGTCAAATAATTTATTCAAGATAAATATAAGAGGTAGAGTCCATATTCAAAAACTAGGTTCATGCTGTTTCCACTTTGCTACAATGCTTTTTAGCTGTTCATTTTTTCATATATACAGTGGGGCCTTGACTTACGAGTGTCCTGACTAACGAGTTTTTCGAGATACGACCTGTCTCTCGGCCGATTTTTTTCTTTGAGTTGCGAGCTAAAATTCGGGTTATGAGCCAGCTTCAGATACCCCACTGCTAGTTGGCGCAGCGAATGTCACAGTGAACGCCACAATATCAGCCCAGCATCACGTGTCTCACTTGTTCACTTTTTGATTTGACATACGAGTAATTTGAGTTACGAGCTCCGTCACGGAACGAATTAAACTCGTAAGTCAAGGCCCCACTGTGTGTGTGTGTGTGTGTGTGTGTGTGTGTGTGTGTGTGTGTACATATATATATATTATTGATTTCAGAGAGGAAGGGAGAGGAATAGAGATAGAAACATCAATGATGAGAGAGAATCATTAATTGGCTGCCTCCTGCGTGCCCCCGACTGGGGGGATCGAGCCCACAACCTGGGTATGTGCCCCTGGCCAGAATTGAACCTGGGGTCCTTTAGTCCACAGGCCGACACTCTATTCACTGAACCAAACCGGCTAGGGCTGTTCATTTTTTTCATTCACTGCAATATTAATTGAGTTTCTACTATTTGCTACTGTAATTATACAGCTATTGGAAAGGAAATTATAACTTGTCTTTAAAGGTCATGAATACTTCCAGAATCAAACTAAACTGATAGAGAGAGAAAGAGAGAAAGAGAGAGACTATTTGAAACAAAGAGAATCAACTGTTTGACTTCTTTGTTAGATCTGCTCGAGTAACATGTGACATCCATTTGAAGCCTCTGGACCAAGAGAAAGTCATCAAAACAAGATGCATTATTTCCAAGTCCCAGCCAAGGCTCATGAAAATTAAGCTAATGAAAGCAATGCCATAAACATAATGCTGGATACTCTAAATTTTGACACCTAAACCATGTAATAATATATAATGTTAGAAAATGAAGGATGTTTTCAAAAGTTAATGCTTCAAAATACATAATTTGTCCTTGAGAATCAAATAAAAAATAAAATGCACATCCATGAAACTACAAATATGTTCAAGATAATGAACATATCCATCAACACAGAAAGTTTCCTCATACACCATTGTAATCTTTTTTACTGTCACTTTCAGCAAGCCCTCCTTGAGACAACCACAAATCAATTTTATGTCACTATTATCGATTTGCATTTTCTAAAATATTACATAGATGGAATCATACAGTATGTACTCATTTTTGTTCAACTTCTACTATTCATCATAATTATTGTAATATTGATCCATGTTTTGTAGATATCAATAGTTCAATCCTTTTTATATTTTTCTGACTAGTATTCCCTAATATAGAGTTACCACAGTCTATTTGTGCATTCACCCACTATTGAACATTTGGATTGTTTCTAGTTTGGGGTTATCCTATATAATAAAAAGCTAATATGCAAATTGACCGAACAGCAGAATGATCAGTCGCTATGATGCGCACTGACCATCAGGGGGCAGACACTCAATGCAGGAGCTGCCTGCTGATGGTCAGTGCACTCCCACAGGGGGAGCGCCACTCAGCCCAAAGCCCTGAGCTGGGCTCATGGCTGGTGAGTGCAGCAGCGATGGCAGGAGCCTCTCCCGCCTCCGCAACAGTCAGACATCTCTCAAGGGCTCCCAGACTGCGAGAGGGTGCAGGCCAGGCTGAGGGACCCTCTCGTGCAAATTTCGTGCACTGGGCCTGTAGTTACAAATAAAGCTGCTATGAAATTTTTATCTGAAAATAAATAAAACTCAAACTTAGTGCAAAGCCACACTTAATATATTTGTGCATACTGACTGCTATGATAGAAAGTCTTCTATTCATTCATTCATTTATTCATTCATACATCAATCCCTCTGTCCATTATCTCTCTGACTATCAAAACTCACTGCTGGCTATCAAAACTCATTGAGTGCCAGCTGCACAGGGCACACTGCTGAACAGTACATAAAGATGAGTCAAATATGGATTCCACTCTTTTTACAAAAGATTAATTTTAGATAGAGAGGAAGGGAGAGGGAGAGAGAGATATCAATGTGAGAGTGAAAACATCGATAGGCTGCTTCCTGCACACCCCATACCAGGAATGGAACGTGCAATCTGGGCATGTGCCCTGACCAGAATCGAACTGGCAACCTTTTGATCCATGGAATGATACCCAAACAACTGAGCCACATCAGCCAGGACTGTATTCCACTCATAATAGCTTTAAGTACTAAAAGAAAAAAAGGAAATGTAATGTAGAAGGGATTAGATTAGGGAAGGCTTTGTGGAGGGAAGGTGTTTAAATTGGGCTCTGACAAGGGAAACAAAAGAAAAAAAATAAACAAATGGGACTACATCAAACTAAAAAGTTTTCGCACAGCAAAGGAAACCATCAACAAAATGAAAAGACAACCCACTAAATGGGAAAACATACTCCCTGATACATCTGTAAGGGATTAATATCTAAAATGTGTAAAGAACTTATACAACTCAACATCAAAAAAACAATCAATTTAAAAATGGGAAAAGGACCTGAATAGACACTTCTCCAAAGAGCACGTACAGATGGCCAATAAATTTATGAAAAGATGCTCAATGTTACTAATCATCAGAGAAATTCAAATTAAAACCACACTTGTCAGAATGCCTATCCTATATAATAAAGAGGTAATACGCAAATTGATTGTCATGCCCTCACACAAGATGGCTGCCCCGATGTGGTCACAATATGGCCACTACAAGATGGCTGGCAGGGGAGGGCAGTTGTGGGTGATCAGGCCAGCAGGGGAGGGCAGCTGGAGGCAACCGGACTGCAGGGGAGGGAGGGCAGTTGGAGGGGAACCAGGCCTGCAGGGGAGGGCAGTTAGGGACAACCAGGCCGGCAGAGGAGGGCAGTTGGGAGCAATCGGGCCAGCAGGAGAGCAGTTAGGTGTTGATCAGACTGGCAGGGGAGTGGTTAGGGGGCAATCAGGCAGACAGGCAGGCGAGCAGTTGGGAGCCAGCAGTCCTGGATTGTGAGAGGGATGTCTGACTGTTAACAGTCAGACATCCCCTGAGGGGTCCCAGATTGGAGAGGGTGCAGGCTGGGCTGAGGGACACCCTGCCTCCAGTGCACAAATTCCATGCACCGGGCCTCTAGTAAATATATAATAAAAGAAATAACACATATTCTTTCATATGTAACTTACCATCCTTCTAATTTAAAATAATAAAATACATTTTATATAAAAATCAAGTCTAGTTTCTTGAAAAAGAACAAATGGTGCTGAGACAACTGGATAGCCATATGCAAACAAATGAAGTTGGACCCTTACCTCACACCATATAAAATATTAATTCAAAATGGATCGAAGAATTAAAACAACTATAAAACTTTTAGAAGGAAACACAGAGGTAAATCTTCATTACCTAAGGTTTGGCAAAGGATTCTTAGACATATGACTCTAAAAGTGGACATAATAAAATTTTAAAACATTTGTGTTTCAAAGGACACCCTAAAGAAAGTGAAGACAACCCACAGAATGGAAAATATATTTTCAAGTCATATATCAGACAAGAGACTTTTATCTAGAATACATAAAAACTCTTACAATTCAATAATAAAAGACAAATAACCAAATTTAGAAATGGGCAAAGTATCTGGATAGACATTTCTCCAAGGAAGATATACAAATGACCAAGAAACAGATGAAAAGATGTTCTACATCATTAGCCATCAGGAAAACATAAATCAAAGCTATAATGAGATAACCACTACACACTCATAAAGATGGCTAGAATCAAAAAGTCAGATAAGTTTTAACATGGATGTGGGGTAATCAAACCCTCTTACGTTCCTTTACAAGAAATGTAAAATGGTGTAGCTGCTTTAGAAAACTGTGGCAGTTCCTCAAATGATTAAAAAGACTTACCATATGACCTAGAAACAACACTCCTGAGGTATATACCCAAGAGAAATGAAAACATACAGTATGTCCATATGAAAACGTGAACATGAATGTTTATAACAGCGTTATTCATAATAGCCAAAGGAATAAAAATAAACCTAAATGTCCATTAGTGGACAAAAGGATAAACAAAATGTGGTATCTCCATACAATGGAGTATTACTAGTATTCTGCTATAAAAAAGAATGGAGTCCTGATACATGCTAGAACCTTGAAAATATTATGCTAAGTGAAAGAAACCATTCACAAAAGACAACATACTATATAATTTCATACATGTGAAATCTAGAATAGGGAAATCTACAGAGACAAAAAGTAGATTGGTGGCTGCTTATGGCTTGGGGGGATAAGCTGGTGATAACTAAAAGGTATGAAATTTCTTTCTGAGGTGATGAAAATGTTAAAAAATAACTGTAGTGATAGGCACACATATCTGTGAATATACCAAAAAACACCAAATACTTTATGTTTATATTATTATTATTATTATTATGTCAGATGGGTAATGTGCCAAAGTCATAATAAGGTGTTTGTGGGAGGCACATCACACACAAGAACATGAGCATCCAATCATGCTTATGAACTACAAAAGGATTGACCACTGAATACTTTAAATGTGTTAACTATATAGTATGAATTATCTATATATATAAAAGCCTAATATAAAAATTGTACCCCTCGGTAGTTCAACTGGGAGATCGGGAGTTCGATCACTCGCTATGATGTGCGCTGACCACCAGGGGGTGGCACAGAACAAAGGAAGGCACTGGCTAGCAGCCAGGGAAGGAAGGCCCCAGTCGGCAGGCGGAAGGCCCCGATTGGCCCTGATCACCAGCCAGGCCTAGGGACCCTACCCGTGCACGAATTTTGTGCAATGGGCCTCTAGTATTTAAATAAAGCTGTTAAAAAATAGTAAGTCTGCCCTAACCGGTTTGGCTCAGTGGATAGAGCGTCAGCCTGTGGACTGAAGGGTCCCAGGTTCGATTCCAGTCAAGGGCATGTACCTTGGTTACAGGCACATCCCCAGTAAGGGGTGTGCAGGAGGCAGCTGATCGATGTTTCTCTCTCATCGATGTTTCTAACTCTCTATCCTTCTCCCTTCCTCTCTGTAAAAAATCAATAAAATACATTTTTTTAAAAATAGTAAGTCTGAAAAAATTTTAAAGATCATTCAATGAAAGTAGCTGGACATGTACTCATCTGATTTAGGTTCTAACCATGGACACATTTGCTACATTCAAAGGAACAGACTGGGTCAGACTTAATCACAGGCTAGATCCCCTGAACCAGTTTTCATAAGTTAGTGCCTTCCAAAATCACCTAAGAACTTGTTAACAACACAGCCCCTGACCCAACAAGAGAGATTTGCTGGGACAGAGATGAGACCCATGAATTTGCTCTGCTAGGTTCCCACATGTATGTAGTGCAGCTGGTTAGTGACCACATTTAATACAAGCACTTCCCTGAACCCTGCTATATGGATGGAATCCACCAGATTTAAGCTACTTTTCTAAATAAATTATAAACTACTGAACATATATCCTAGTTATAGAAAAATAAAAAATAGCCTACAAATTTGTGAAAAGTAGTCCAAAAATAACTGCAGAATTTCCAAACTTCTCATTTGAAAAAAAGGCTTTTTAGCCAGTGGTTTCAATCTTCTGGCTCTTTAAATACAGTTCCTCATGTTGTGACCCAACCATAAAATTATTTTCGTTGCTACTTCATAACTGTAATGTTGCTACTGTTATGAATTGTAATGTAAATATCTGATATGCAGGATGGTCTTAGGCGACCCCTGTGAAAGGGTCGTTCGACTGCCAAAGGGGTCGTGACCCACAGGTTGAGAACCGCTGCTCTAGACAGAAAAAACAAAACATAACTATAAAAGTCATTCAAAAACAACAACAAACAGCCGAAACTGGTTTGGCTCAGTGGATAGAGCGTCGGCCTGCAGACTGAAAGGTCCCAGGTTTGATTCCGGTCAAGGGCATGTACCTGGGTTGCGGGCACATCCGCAATAGGAGATGTGCAGGAGGCAGCTGATCAATGTTTCTCTCTCATTGATGTTTCTAACTCTCTATCTCTCTCCCTTCCTCTCTGTAAAAAAGTCAATAAAATATATATTTTTTTAAAAAATTGAAAATAAATAAATAAATAAAAACAACAACAAACAAATCAACAAACGACAAGTGTTGGTAAGGATGTGGAGAAAAGGGAACCCTAGTACACTGCTGATAGAAATGCAGACTGATGCAGCCACTGTGGAAAACAGTATGGCATTTCCTCAAAAAATAGAAAGTGAAACTCCCATTTGACCCAGTGATCCCACTACTAGGAATATATCCTAAGAAACTGGAAACACCAGTCAGAAAGAATATATGCACCCCTATGTTCCTAGCAGTACAATTTACAATAGCTAATTTGGAAATATCCAAAGTGCCCATCAGCAGATGAGTGGATAAAAAAATTGTGGTACATTTACACAATGGAATACTACCCAACTGTAAAAAAGAAAGAACTCATACCATTTGTAACAGCATGGATGGACCTGGAGAGTATTATGCTAAGCAAAATAAGCCAGTCAGAGAAAGATAAGTATCACATGATCTCACTCATATGTGGAATCTAATGAACAAAATAAATTGATGAACAAAATAGATCCAGAGACTTAGATGCATGAAACACATTGTCAGACCTCAGGGGGAAGGTAGGGAAGGGTGGATAGGTGGGGAAGGGTGGGTGGGTGGGTGGGAGATCAACCAAAGAACTTGTATGCATATATGTATAACCCATGGTTACAGATAATAAGGTAGTGAAGGCCTGCGGTTGGGGCGGGGGGCTGGCTAGAAGAAGGGGAAAAAAGGGGACCTATGCAATACTTTCAACAATAAAGATTTTTAAAGCAACAACAACAAAACACAGAGCAGTACTGTATCATATAGTGACTCACTTAAATCAAAAGCCCTTAGTATAGACCACACCACAAATGCCTGGCACTACCAATTGCAGAATATTTACCCTTGCACATTTTAATGGTTATAATTTAGAATCTTATGTCCTGTCCATTTCATTACTTGTCTAGATTCTAGTTAAAAACCACCTTTAAGCCGAAACCGGTTTGGCTCAGTGGATAGAGCGTCGGCCTGCGGACTGAGGGGTCCCAGGTTCGATTCCGGTCAAGGGCATGTACCTGGGTTGCGGGCACATCCCCAGTAGGAGATGTGCAGGAGGCAGCTGATCGATGTTTCTCTCTCATCGATGTTTCTAACTCTCTATCCCTCTCCCTTCCTCTCTGTAAAAAATCAATAAAATATATTAAAAAAAAAAAAAGAAAAACCACCTTTAAACTGAAAAATTTTGTATGAACACCACACAGTGTGAAGATATCTATCACCAAGAAATGTTTTCTAATGAGGAAAATTGCATTTAGTATTTTAAAAAGTAGAGAAATAAAATAGTAGACATTTTCAATGGTACATATATATAAATTTTAAAAAATTCTATGTTCCCTTAGTGGTATTTTTATCTATTTGGAAAATGTAGAAATTCCAAAGCAACTCCTTTTCCAACCTTACCTAAAAAAAAAAAGAAATTTCCCATCCCTTGGGGGCAGGGGACCAGTGCCTTTTAGACCTTCAGGTTATTAACTCTGACTTTCTATTAAACTCTGAAAAACTTGGTTTCCTGGTTTTCTAGTTGGAAGCAAATATGAAGCAGCAAATCAGCAGAAATAAGGAGCTACTAGAGGAAGACACAGAGACAGTAGAAAGTGACAATAAGGAGGAAGATTCAGTACATAAATCTATACCCTGTAGCCCAAACAAACACCAAAAGCACACTCTTACTTGGAAAAGAAGCTCCTAAGGGCATCACCGTATTGATCTTAGTGTAATACTTCACACCCTTCCAAATCTAATCTCTTCAACTGTCCTCTGTAACATCTCTCCTCCCATTTCCTCAGAATCTTGCTCCATGAATCATCCTCTCTTCCCTGCCATATCTTGACCCTTTTCTTGCCTATGGACTCCTTCCCTTCAGAAAAATATTCTCAAATCTCTTACAAGTAACACAAAAAGAGCCCTTCTTTCACACCAACACTCTCCTCTAGTTACTTTCTTCTTTCTTTCAGAGACAACGTTTTGGAAAGAATAGTGTCTACCTGCTAGCTCCCCTTCCTCACCACTCATTTATCTTCTAAGCCACTGCACCACAATGGTCTTCTAACCACCCACTCCACTGTAGCTGCTCTCACTTTGGTCACTGTTGCCCTCACAACTGCCAGTCTACTGACTTTCTACTCTTACCTCTGTTGACCTCTCCAAGACAACTTGATCCAACTTCCTTCTTGAAAATTCCCTCTTTGTTTAGTCTTTGGTGCCACACTCAAAATTTTGATTCTTCAGTCTTGGGATGTCAGTAGAATGTATGCAAAAAAAGGGGAGGAGGGTTCATGATCAAATAGGTTGGAGAAATATTCTATTAAAATTAAACGGGTTTCTTTAGTAGGGATTTCTCAGATTTCTAACAAAATACTGATATGCATTGTGAATCTACAGGATGGAGTTCTGCAGTGTTTCCCAAACTTGCCTGGCTCTAGAACCTTTCTCTCCCTTATAAAGAACTATCTTATATGATAAATTAATTGAGGAACATATTTTGGGTAGCATCACTTTTGATGTTTTCTTTCAGCCTTATCTGCAGGATCTCCTTCCTCCTTTAGCCTCTCAAATGTCTAAGTTTCCCAAAAGTCCACCTTCAGTGTTTCACTCCTCACAGGTCTCACCATATACATTCATCATAAGTGATCTCATTCATATTTTCGTGGTTTCAACCCAGCTTTAGAGTGACTCTGACTGACACTGTGTAAAGTAGGAACAATAATAACAAATTCATAAGGACTAAAAGACATGATGTATATAAAAGTATAAACACAACATATTTACACATTTAAGGAAAAGCTTAATAAATAGTCACAATCATTTACTTTGTCTCCAGCCTAGATCTCCTTGCTGAGCAGTAAAAATGTATTGATCTAACTTGGGACTTCCCCTTGGTTGTTGCATATATACCTCAAACTCAAGATGCTCACTTCCCACTCTACCACCTGGCCCCTGCACACTCTAGCTCAGTATGTACTCTTCGCCCAAGCCTGAAACAATGAAGCCATACTCCTGACTCTTCCTTTTCAATTACTATCCTTCCCTCTGCTCACCAATTTAGTAACCAAGTATATCTGGCTTTTTTCCAGTGCATTTTCAGATGGCTATCTTCTAAAGTACAAAATCTGATCACATCACTCTTCTGCTTAAAATTCAGTATTTCCTCATAGTTTTCAGGATAAAATTCAACCTCCCAATGTATCGTATACGGCTCCTTATGATCTGGTCTCTTAAGTGTCATCTCCTTCCATGCCCTAGTCTCATATACACTCTCCACTCCTGTCAAATCAAATCATGTGTATGTCTACTAATGGTCATACTGTCACGACTTCACTAGTATACATTCCATTCTCTGTCCATAAAGTCAATTCAACCCCACTCCCACCCACTTTATTTCTGGTTAATTCCAAATGGTCATTTTCATGAATTTAAT